AAGTCAACCAAAATAAGAGGGGGCGATGAAAAGAATAGAGTGGAAGCATTGAAAGTAGATGAGCAAATGATTTGGGGAAAGAAAAAATCAATGAAATCTGAAAGCCAGTTTTTACAAGTTTAATGAGAATTGAATATAACATCCCTGGACATGGTGGCGCTCACGCCTGTAAACCCCCAGCACTTAGGCAGGCCGAGGCCAAGAGGGATCGAGTTGAGACCAGGAGTTTGAAGCCAGCCTGGGCAACATAGTGAGGACCCCATCTCTACAAAAAGAAACTACAAGGGGCCAGTCGGCTCCTGCCTGTAATGCCTAGCACTCAGGACCTAAGCGGGAGGACTCTCAAGGTCAGGAGTTCAAAACCAGCCTTGAGGGTAAGAGCGAGACCCCGTCTCTACTAAAATAGAAAAATTAATTGCAACTAAATATAAAAATCACCGGCATATGTGGCGATGCCTGTAAGTCCAGGCTACTCGGGAGGCTGAGGCAGGAAATTGCTTAGCCCAGGATTTTGAGGTTGCTGTGAGCAAGGGCTGGACGCCACGGCACTCCCAGCCCGCGGCACGAGTGAGAACTCTGGTCTTCAAAAAAAAAAGGAAAGAAAGTTGTGGTTGTTTTTTTTTTTTTGTTTTTGAGACATGGTCTATCTTCACCCGCTGGCTGAAAGCAGTGGTATCATCACGAGCTCCACGTGAGCCTCAAACTCCTGAAGCTCAAAGCGCCATAAACCGTCCTTGGCCTCATGCGTCCCCGATGTAAGGCTGGGACTAGTGGTATATATTGGTCAGCGCAATCGAGCCCCAAGCTAATATTTCTTTTAGGCCACTTTATTTAGTAGAGATTGGACTCGGAATTGCCGATTACACTATGTTGCCCGGATTGGTAATTGCCAGTCTCTTCTTGTAGTTGTAGACAGTGAAAGGTTGATCCTGATCCCAAGTGGATCCTCCACTCGCCAGTGACACCCAGTGCTGGTTATGTACCTAGGCAATGAATACCTACCCAATGAATTTGGCCCTAACCTCTTCTGGTTTCATTTTATATTAATTTCAAATAGAGCTCGCATACATCTGGTTTAGGTGAAAATTACATCTTGTGTGCAGTGTGTAACTTGAGAGTGAGATATAAAGGACAAAGATTGGACTAGTCCACAGGTTATGGAGTTGTTTTGATTTTATTACATAATAAGTCAGAGCCATATTTTGCTTGCCTAAAGGATTATAATGGTTCATCTGTCCGAATACTTTTGGTGCATTATGTGTTACACGGTGATATTATTATTAAAACTCTCAATATCTGGAATGTTTTTAAACTTATTGTTCAAATGTCAAATGTCAGTGCCTGTGCCATATGAAAGACAACTGTGTGCATCGTTTGTGCTACTTAGAGTATTTCTTGCATGACCAACAGATATTAGTTCCAAAAAGCAATGTCAACATTAGGGAATAACCATGGAATCTCCAAATTATCTAATTGAAATATTTCAACAAAATTTACAGGTGCCTGTGAAGGGTATGGAGACTTTCAAGATATCTGAAATATTGTCTCCGTGGTGGATGACCACTCCGGTGATTCCGATAGCCTTCGCTCCTTCAATCCCGATATCAGGACTACGTCCCCATAATGATTGGTACTGGTTACATGCTACACGGGTTGTATATTTTGTTGTTATTTTATGTTTTATTGTTTTTTTTGAGTCATGGTAGTTGTCGCGTGATGTTGGGCTCGAGTGCTTATGAAGTGATGCCATTGTCTCAATGTTGGTCTCTAACGCCTTGTGTCAAGAAAGCCGCTTCTCTATATTCCTGGGGTCAAGCGATTCCTCGCTGACCTTGTAACCTAAGCCAAACGAGTAGCTGGAACTGGTCAGGCCTGATATTACGCGCCATACCTATAATATGCCCGGGGCTAGTTTTTTCTTAACTTTATATTTAGTTTATATGAGCCAACTTCATATATTTCTGATGTTTAAGTGTTTCTATTGTAGAGATTAACGCTGTGTGTGGAAATATCTGGTTGCATACGCTGTATTGTAACTCAGGGTGGGTTTTGAACCCTGACCTTCGAGCTATGTTCCTGCTCTCTTTGATCGTCAGGCCTCCCAGTATGATGGGATTACCATTGTGCTTGTGGAGCTTGGTTTCTCAAGTGTAGCACCACCGTATTGCGCCCTGTACAATGGTCGGTTCAGTACCTATGTGGTATCTTCACAGATGCTGCAAATATAATAGACATCCCAGGCATACATAGGCATTGTTTGCTATCTGTCAACGATCTGACGGCAGCTTATATGTCGAATTTAGATCATACATGGTTCAGGCGTGCCTCCTTTGTGGATTATGGGGATGTTTAAGGTGATAAATTTGTATTGAATAGATGTCAACTATTCATTTTTAGCTAGTGTTCTTAACATAAGGCTCAAAGGATTAGTAATGTGTAATTTCCTATCGTTTGTTACTGTAACTGGCTATTATGGTAGCCCTGCTGGTTAGACTGCCGGCACGCTGGACAGCATGTGGTCTCCGTTGCAACCACTCAGCCTTGTTGACACTGTAGTGGCTGAACAATGTCACTGTTGTAGAGTTTAGGTAAGAACGCAAGTGTGTCCGGTATGTTGCCAATTAAAACTTTATATTATAATAACGGTTAGGTCGAATTATGATTTTTGTGTGCTACTGTCTATAGAATAAGGCGGCAGTTTGGTATGGAAGTAATAACAAGATGAGAGATCAGAAGAAACAGCTTGACCAAAAACCTGGTATAAAGAAGGGAGCATAAGGGGAGTGGATTAACGGCCACCTAGGTAGCACTACTGTGTTCTGGAAGTTAGAGAGTTGGCAGAGAGAAACCTGCCAGTGTTCGACTAAGGTTCTGACTGAGGTTCTCGGTGGTGTGGCCGTGGAGTTTGGAGAAGCAGTGGGGAGGACGAGTATGGTGAAAATGTGGAAGCCAGATACTAGTATGTGATCATGAGATGTGGTGCAGTCTATTTTTATTCCTATTGTTCTTTTTTTCTGTTTTTAGCAGAGTTATTAAGTCTTTTCGCTACTTCTTCTGAGCTGGTCTTTCAACACTCCTGGTAATTTATAACCGTTCCAGCGATCTTTCCTCTCTTCTAGACATCCTAAGTAGATGCTGGGATGTGACAGGGCGTGATAAGCCATCGCACCAATGCCTCCGCAATATATGATACAAATGCTTTTATTTTTAATGAAGAAATGACTTTTGACTGTGGTAATAGCACTTAGCTTAAAACCAACACATACAGCATTAAAAATATTTCTTATGTATCGACTCTTATTCTATAAGCTTTTATGTATACTCTTAATATCCTCTTTTCCTATATTGTCTCAATCTACAATTGTTGTTAATACTTTATAATAATATGCAGCAAACAAATTACACATTTAGATACACTATATTTAGATAGTTATTAGGGTTGCAGCGCAATGATGCATAGTGGAATTCATATGGACAACTCATTTCTCTTTTAAGGATTCTATATTCTACTAGGTTTCGTCGTTCGTAATCAGCAGACATTAATTTTGAAGGTAGGTGGCGCGCGGTCATCGCCTGTCTCTGTGAATCCTCAAGCAACTCCTTGGGTGAATGGCTCTTCCAGATACTGTCAGGAGGCCTCTTCATTTTGTTGGGCCAGGTATTCAAAAGCCAGCCTGTGAACAAGCTTTTTAGCTCTCAAGAGTCCTCCATCTGTATTAATATAAAATGATAATTGTTATATATTTCTCTGATTAAACAGAGATTCTCGCGTGTCTTGTGTGTATTGCGCCCACGAGATAGATGGTGAGAATGTCCGCTCGTTGGGCGTATACCTCACCAGCCTGGTAGCTCTGCCAGCAACTCACAGAATTGCTCTGGGTCTCATCCGATCCACTTCTTTTGTTGTGATCCGTGTTGTCCAGTCGCTGGATTGAACATGGCAGGTGAGCGACTACCTAGACTATTTTGACCGGTGCTCATAATTTAATCTGATTGTTTTGTCTTGCCGCCTACTAGGAAGTCAGTTCTTTTTTTTTGTTTTCTGTTTTCTTCTATTATCAACTGGTCCTAGTGCCTTGGCCAATTGTTCGGTCGTTTCCTTTCTACACGCATGGAGCTCAGGAGACGTGTTCGCTCTTTGCTCAGGTGGTTTCCTCGATCTCATAACTTTGTAACTTGAAGCACAGTCGCAGGCAGACACGGCCTGGTCGGCCTCCCAGAGATAGGATTACGGCGTGACCACCGCGCCGGCTTAGTGGGGTTTTTTTCAACTGGCCCTGTAGGCTAGAAGGCGGGCCCCAACCCAGGTACATTCCTACCCAAAACGACTACCTCTGTCCGCATGATACCAAACTCTGCCTGTGCGCCTTGACGCGGCTCTGTCCCGCCTGCTCATGCTGCACCTAGACCTCCTACTACATACACACTGACCCTGACCTGGCGCCCTGCCCCGCTCATGCACCTAGTCTTTGTCATACTACCTGTACGTCCTGTACATGTCCAGCTCACGCATGACACCTGCACTTATAGTATTTTTCTAGCTTTTCAGGTGAAACTTCTTTGAATGAGCCCTGTGAGCAAGTTCATTTATTCATTCAACAAACGCCTAGTGAGGGTTAGGGTCAGGCCCTAATCCAGGTCCCCGGGGCCCAGCAGGGATGAACATGTGTAGTTGGTGTTCTGAGGAAGGGGACAACACAATGGACCGACAACGGCGCAGGAGTGCTAGGATTACAGGTGGGAGCCACCGCGCCCGGCCAGCTTTCTTTCTTTAATAGAACCGCATTTCCCTTTGTTGAAAATTTAACATCCAGACTGAGATCCAGTAAAACACATACCAGATTCCTAAGAATTAGTACCAAAGAAAAGCATGGAACACGCCTCCCTCATCATATTTTCTACTGACTCCATGTTGCATACGTGGAGTTAAATAAAATGTGTTATTAAAATTAATTTCCTTCATTTCATTTTTCTCCTGTTAATATGGCTCCTGTGTTTAATTACACAGGTGCCTCATATATTTCCATCGGACGGTCAGTGCAGGTTTAGACATTTCCACAACATTCCCGTAATGTTGGGGCTGCTGCCATTTTTGACACAAGGAAACAGAGGCACAGAGAGGTTAAGTAAGTTGCCCAGGGTCACACAGCACATAAGCGGTAGAGCTGGATTGGAACCCGGGCTGTCTGGCTCTAGAACCCACTGAGCCTGTGGGGTCCCTTTGACATTTCCAGGCTTAACACAGACTCCAGTCTACGTGGAGCTGGTTATGTGGCCCAGAAACAGCCTTACCCAGTTTTAATGGAACTAACCCTCATGAAACAGGCGTATGTCCGGAGTGTTCCTACAGAGAGGTAGAGGATGAAAGATGTTTTTTCCATAATGCAGGCATACACGAGCCACGGGGAAAAGGCACAGTGCCCAGCTTCCGTCTCTGAAGTGAGCTCAGCGCATAGCGGGAGAAAAATGAAAACGATCTTATATTCAGGTGGGACCACAAGTCAGCCAAAACTTTTTGAGATGATCAAGACAACTACTTGAAATATGGTCTCTACAGCAATGATCCTTGAATCAGCTGTCCCTCCCACCCCCGATCACTCCTGGAAACAGCTGTGTGTACAACTGGCAAAGAAAAAAAACCAACACATGTTGGCACGTGCCCTCGTGGAGCGGGGCAGTGCCTGGGACGGGGCAGGAGCAGGGTTGGGCTTGACGCTGTGTTCACGCTGAAAACATTCGCCAAGTTCAGCGGGGAGGTGTTGAACACTTTTCTGTAGACAGAAATTTTGTCCACAGGTTCTATGTCAATAAAATGGTAAAAGGAAAAAAAAAAAAAAACTCAGAGACTCCTGGGCAACTGTGCTGGCAGCAATCTAAGAATCAAATTATGTTTGAATTGGTTGCCGACAGTGAGCAAAGGGCATTTTGTGCAGAACTCTGGTGTTCCGGATTCGCTTGGAAAATCAACAATTGGGCCGAGCTGGGTCCACATTCCCAAGGCCTGGGAGCAAAGTGTGGCTGCCTCGCCTCACAGCGACGGACTCCCCTGTCCCCCAGCTGCCCACCTGGCCTGAGTCACCTCCAGGAAGAGAGAGAGAAACAGGGAGAAGCATGCCTTTGGGATTCGAACCTCCGCTCTGCCACTCCCAGGCCTCAGTCTCCTTGTCTGTACAATGGGCACGGCGGGAAGCGGTACCAGCTGGGGCTGTCGTGAGGTTGAACGAGTTCATTCGTACAAGAGTCTTAAAGCAGTGTCCCGCACACAGTGGGCGCCCCACTGGGCCACTAACACGCAGGGCTGCCGCCTGCTCCCCGGGGGGACCAGAGCTGGACGCGACCCCACAGCCCCAGGACGCGGAGGGTTTTGTGCAAAGGAGACAGAGCCAGCGGGACTCAGAGTCGCAGGCAGGGCACACCACTGCGCTCAGGCCGGCGGGTACTAAAAGTCAGCAACCTTTCTTCTCAGTTTCTCCTCCCGAGGGGAGATTCAGGGTGCTGGGGAGAAATCTGGGGTGTCGGGAGGAACACAGTGTGTCGGAGAGAAATCTGGGGTGCTGGGGAGGAATCCTGGGTGTTGTGGAGCAACCTGGGGTGCCGGGGAACATCTAGGGTGCAGGGCAGGCATCTGGGGTGCCGGGGAACATCTGGGGTGCAGGGCAGGCATCTGGGGTGCCGGGGAACATCTGGGGTGCGGGGCAGGCATCTGAGGTGCCTGGGAACTTCTGCGGTGCGGGGCGGGCATTTGGGGGTGCCGGGGAAACATCTAGGGGTGCGGGGCGGGGCAATTTTGGGGTGCCGGCGGGCTCTGGGGTGCCCGGGAACATCTGGGTGCGGGGAGGCATCTAGGGTGCCTGGGAATTGCTGCGGTGCGGGGCGGGCATTTGGGGTGCCCGGGGACATCTGGGGTGCGAGGCGGGCATCTGGGGTGCCCGGGAACATCCTGGGGGTGGGCCGGGCCGGCCCATCCTGGGGTTGTTTTGGGGGAGTTAACCCGGCACCGTGGGGAGGGGAAAGCCGGACCGTTTTGAGGGCCCCCCGAAAAAGCGGTGGCCAGGGACCCCGGAGGCGGGAGCCGGAGGCCCCCCCCAGTGGCCCTGGGACCCCTGGGCCGCCTGGCCCGGGCCGGCCTCCCGCCCCCGCGCCCTTTCCCCACCTACCGAGCGGGGACGAGCGCGGCGGCGGCCGGGGGGCGGTCCTTCGGCGGGGGCCCGGCCCGCGGACACCGAAGCGCGCCAGGGCCTGGCGCTGCAGCCCCGCGTGTGGCGCCGCCCCTTCCGTCCCGGCCGGGACGAGGACGTGAGGGTCCAACGGTTTTCCCCGGACCCCGCCCTGGCCGCGGCGGCGGGGAAAAGTCCCCCGCCCGGCGCCCCGCCCCACCCGGTGCGTGCCCGCCCCCTCCGGCCAGCGGGCGCACCTGGGGCCGCACCTGCCCGCACCTGCCCCGCAAGCAGGCGAACAACCAAAACCGGGGCGCGCAAACCTCTGGCCCACGGGGCGGCCCACGGCCCTCCGGGGGGACCCAGAGGAAAAAACGAATCCCTATTTTTTTAAAAATCAGCAAGGCAACTCCTCAGTGAGCGAGGGGGAGACCCCGCGTTCCCGGATACGGTGGCCCTTTTGCAACGACCGGAAAAAGGGGGTCCTCGCCTGTTTGCCCCGGCCTTGCCGCTCCCAAGCGATTTCCTTCCGCCCGTTGGGCCCTCCCCAACAAGCGCGGCTGGGGGGTTGGATTGGGCCCCAATGAGCACCCACCAGAACACGCAGGCTTGCTAAATCCACCAGGCTTCCTAACCTTTTTTGGGGGTCCAAGACTCAGGGAGAACCAACTCTCAAACAGGGCACGGTTTAGAAAACAACGGGTGCCAGGGGAATTTAACCCCGATACTTTTTTTTTCCTCGTAGCCCCACAAGAAGCAAATGTTTTTTCAACTTCTTTGGGAAAATCCAGGGGAGGAAAATAGAAACCTGAATGTTCACCCCCAAGCCTTGGAATTTCCTGTTTTTTATCATTCTGGTCTTTAATGACCAAGCGCGTTCCATAATATGAATCATATACTATATTTTTTTTTTTAAAGGAAGGAAAAGAGGGCTGGAAAGTTTTGTCGTCTCCTTTTGGCTTGGAGAGACCCTTCAGAGGACCTTTTTTTCCCTAAAATGCCCCCATTTGAAGGCCGGGCCCCCGCGTGTGGCTCAACGAGCCCCCCTGGGTTAATCAATAGCTCTTTGGGGGAGGCGAGCGGGGCCGGGATTCGCCCCCCTCAAGGTTCAGCGGCGAGTTCAAAAACCAGCCCTGAGCCAAGAGGCGAGGAACCGTTCTCTACTAATAAATAGAAAGAAATTATTGGACACCCAAAAACTGATAAGTTATATAAAAAAAATTTAGCTGGGGCCATGGTGGGGCGGAATGCCCCCCTGTTAGTCCCCAGCCCTCCACTTCGGGAAGGCATGAGGCAGGAAAAGGATCGCTTTTTGAGCCCAGGGAGTTTTGAGTTTCCTTTGTGGAAGCTAGGCCTGACGCACGGCACTCACACTTTTACTTAGCCTGGCAACCAAGCCGGAAGAACCTTAACTGTCTCAAAAAAAAAAAAAAAAAAAAAAAAAAAAAAAAGGCCATTTTGGGAAGAATTCAGGAAAAACAAGGGTTTTACAAGGGAAATCCATTATGTGAAAAAATGCGCAATGCATTTAAAATATTTTGGTTAAAAAACAAGTTAATTGGCTGGGTCCTGGATGGTAAGTTGGGCCCATCAGAACTTATGAAACGTGGGAAGTGTCCACTAAAAGGGTGGAACATAAAACGCCCCCACCTTTGCTAAAAATGTGGACCTGGGCAACAACAAAACAAAACAAGGAAAAACAAGTTTAATGAACCCATGTTCCTGATGGATAGAACCAAGTTGGTAATGGGTGGTCCACCCCCCCATTACCAAAATGGAATAATCAACTCAGCCCTTAAAAAAAGGAAGGAAAATTTTCCCTTTTGTCTTTTTTTTTCTTGAGACCCCAAGAATTCCCTCAACTCTGGTTTGCCCAGGGCCCTTTAAGAGTTGAGGTGGCGCCGTGGCATCAGCCCCCCTAGCTTCACGCCAACTCAAAGACTCCTGGGGCTCAAGCCGACTCTCTCCCTGCCCCTCAGCCTCCCGAAGTTAGCTGGCTACAGGCCATGCGCCACCATGGCCCGCTTAATTTTTTTTTCTATATATTATTTAGGTTGGCCAATTAATTTCCCTTTCTATTAAAATAGTAGAGACGGTTTCTCCGCTTCTTTTTGCATCGGGCTGGTTTTTCACCTCCTGACCTCCCAGCGATCCTCCGCCCCCTCGGCCCTCCCCGAGGTGCCTAGGATTACAAAGGGCCCGGTTTGACAGCCCAACCGCGCCCGCCCTTAAGGGAAAGGAAAATTCTGAACCACAGGGCTAACAGTGTGGGACTTAGACCCCACTGAAGGACATGGTTTGCCTCCGTGAAGAGACCCCCGCCCAGACCCCACAGAAGTGGACCACATCCTGCCGTGACTCCACCTTCCCCGGAAGGTTCCCCCTGGAGGCCATCAGAAAATCCCCACAAGAGGACAGGAAGAAAGGCGTGGGGGTGGGTTGGCCCCAGGGGGCCTGGGGACGGGTTTGGGGGGGTGGGGGTGTTTTCATGGGGACAGTTTTTCCCAAAGTTTTGGGGGGACCGACCCAGAAAAAGTTCCCGGGGAGATGGGGCTGGGTGGGTTGGCTTCATACCCTGTTAATCCCCAGCACTCTTGGGAAGGGCCGAGGGGCCCAGGAATTCGAATTTTGAGGCCTCCAGGAGTTTTTTTCCCGACCCCAGTTCTGAGCAAGAAGGTGAAGACCCCCGTCCCTTTACTAAAAAAAAAAATTTACCCCAGGTTGGTTGGTTGGCGGCATGCCTGTAGTTAACTCAGCAACTCGCGGAGGCTTGAGGCAGCGAGGATTTCAGCTTTGAAAGCGCAGGAGTTTTGGAGGTTTGCTGTGAGCTGTGAATGTGCCACGGCCTCTAGCCAGGGGCAACAGAGTTAAGACTGTCTCAAAAACAAAACAACTCTTGAAAATAAAAAGCCGACTACCAAAACAACAACTTCAGGGATACTCTGCATCTTTTTTTTCTTTTTTTTTGCGAGACACGGCGTCTCAGCTTTTTTCGTCCAGGCTACCCGAGTTGAAGCTGCCATGGCATCAGCCTAGGCTTCACAGCAACGCTCAAACCCTGGGCTCAAGGCAATCCCTACTGCCCAGCCTCCCAAGTAGGCTTTGGACTAAGCGGGCATGCGCCACCATGCCGCGGGCTTAAGTTTTTTTTCCCTTGTATATATTTAGTTTTGGGCCAATTAATTTCTTTTCTCATTTATAGCTAGAGACGGGTCCTTGCGGCTCTTGCTCAGGTTGGCTTTTTTCGAACTCCTGACCTTGAAGCAATCCGCCCCGCCTCGGCCTCCCTAGAGAAGCTAGGATTATCAGGCTGGCCACGCGCCCCGCCAGAATTGCTGTTATTGATCACCACATTAAATAATAAGATCTAACAGGCCGGGCGGGGTGCTTTCCACGGCGCCGTAAATCCTAGCTCTCTGGAGGGCCGAGGCGGGCCGGAAGTTTGCTTCAAGGTCAGGAGTTCGAAACGGCAGCCTCAGCAAGAAGGGAAGAAAGCAGTCTCCTAACTATAAATAGAAACGAAAATTGAATTTGGGGCCAAATAATATAATCATAAAAACAAATTAGCTGGGCATGGTGGCGAAATACCTGTAGTCCCAGTTTACTTGGGAGGCTGAAAAGGGCAGGAGGATTGCTTTTGAGCCGAAGGAGTCTTGGAGGCTTGCAGTGAGCTTTAGGGGACTGCCACAGCACTCACTCCAGCCTGGGCAACCGCAGAGTGAGAAATCTTGTCTCAAAAAAAAAAAACAACAAACAACAAACAAATAAAAATAAATAAATACAAATACCAGAAGAAATTAATTGGCAACTAATATATATATCGAAAAAAGTAAGCCGGGCATGGTTCGACCCATGCCTGGTAGTCGCGGGCAGCAACAACTCGGGAAGGCTGAGGCAGGAGGATCGCTTGAAACGCCCAGGGTTTTGAGGTTCGCTGTGAGCTAGGCTGACGCCACAGCACTCAGCTTGCTAGGCGCTGGGCAACAAGAGTGAGACTCTGTTCCTTTCCGCAAAAATAAAGCCAAGCACTTTCCAGGAAGGTTTTTTGTGGTGCCCAGTTTACAGATGAGGAAACTGAGGATCCGGGACAACTGGAGCATGCAAGCTTCGAGGGCTGCAAGTGGATAAACGTGCCCACCTGCAGACAGGTGCAGTTGCCCACCTCCCTTCTCCAATGA